CGCACACGGGAAGGGAGTTTATCTCTCTCTCCCTTTTNAGGGAACTCAAAAAAGCCACGTGGGGGAAGGTCGTCATTGCCATGTATGAAGTCAGATCGCACACGGGAAGGGAGTTTATCTCTCTCTCCCTTTTTTTTTTTCTCCGTGCGAAGATAGCGTGTAACGAAACTGTGATCGCACAGGGAGGGGGGTTGATCTCCCTCTCCCTTTTGTTTTGTGTCAGATTTGTACTTGCGAAAAATGCGGAACTGAAAAAGGCATGTGGGGAAGGTCGTGATTGCCATGTATGAACTGAGGTCGCACAGGGGAGGGGGTTGATCTCCCTCTCCCGTTTTTTTGTTCTTTTTTTTTCTCCTCACAAATGTGAGGGAACTCAAAAAAGCCACGTGGGGGAAGGTCGTCATTGCCATGTATGAAGTCAGATCGCACACGGGAAGGGAGTTTATCTCCCTCTCCCTTTTTTTTTTCGTTTTTTTTTTCTCCTTGCGAAGATGGCATGTAACGAAACTGTGATCGCACAGGGAGGGGGGGTTGATCTCCCTCTCCCTTTTGTTTTGTGTCAAATTTGTACCCGCGAAAAATGCGGAACTGAAAAAGGCATGTGGGGAAGGTCGTGATTGCCATGTGTGAACTGAGGTCGCATAGGGGAGGGGGTTGATCTCCCTCTCCCGTTTTTTTTTCTTTTTTTTTTTCTCCTTGCAAATGCGACGGAACTCAAAAAAGCGACGTGGGGGAAGGTCGTCATTGCCATGTATGAAGTCAGATCGCACACAAGAAGGAAGTTTATCTCCCTCTCCCTTTTTTTTTTCGTTTTTTTTATCGAATTACAAAGATGGCATGTAACGAACTGCAGAATGCCACGCGGGAAAGGGTCACAATCGGCTTGTCTGAACTGTGATCGGACAGGGAGGGGGGTTGATCTTCCTCTCCCTGTTGTTCTGTATCAGATTTGACATTGCGAAAAATGCGGAACTGAAAAAAGGCATGTGGGGAAGGTCGTGATTGCCATGTATGAACTGAGGTCGCACAGGGGAGGGGTTGACCTCCCTCTCCCGTTTTTTTGTTCTTTTTTTTTCTCCTCACAAATGCGAGGGAACTAAAAAAAGCCACGTGACGGAAGGTCATCATTGCCATGTATGAAGTCAGATCGCACACAGGAAGGGAGTTTATCTCCCTCTCCCTTTTTTTTTTCGTTTTTGTTTTCTCCTTGCGAAGATGGCATGTAACGAAACTGTGATCGCACAGGGAGGGGGGGTTGATCTCCTTCTCCCTTTTGTTTTGTGTGAGATTTGTACTCGCGAAAAATGCAGAATTGAAAAAGGCATGTGGGGAAGGTCGTGATTGCCATGTGTGAACTGAGGTCGCATAGGGGAGGGGGTTGATCTCCCTCTCCCTTTTGTTTTGTGTCAGATTTGTACTTGCGAAAAATGCGGACCTGAAAAAGGCATGTGGGGAAGGTCGTGATTGCCATGTGTGAACTGAGGTCGCATAGGGGAGGGGGTTGATCTCCCTCTCCCGTTTTTTTTTTCTTTTTTTTTCTCCTCACAAATGCGAGGGAACTCAAAAAAACCACGTGGGGGAAGGTCGTCATTGCCATGTATGAAGTCAGATCGCACACAGAAGGGAGTTTATCTCCCTCTCCCTTTTTTTTTTCATTTTTTTTTTCTCCTTGCGAAGATGGCATGTAACGAAATTGTGATCGCACAGGGAGGGGGGTTGACCTCCCTCTCCCTTTTGTTTTGTGTCAGATTTGTACTTGCGAAAAATGCGAAACTTAAAAAGGCACGTGGGGAAGGTCGTGATTGCCATGTATGAACTGAGATCGCACAGGGGAGGGGGTTGATCTCCCTCTCGCGTTTTTTTTTCTTTTTTTTTGTCTCCCTGCAAATGCGACGAAACTCAAATAAGCGAAGTGGGGGAAGGTCGTCATTGCCGTGTATGAAGTCAGATCGCACATGGGAAGGGAGTTTATCTTCCTCTCCCTTTTTTTTCTTCGTTTTTTTTTTTCGGATTACGAAGATGGCATGTAACGAACTGCAAAATGCCACGCGGGAAAGGGTCACAATCGGCTCGTCTGAACTATGATCGGACAGGGAGGGGGGTTGATCTCCCTCTCCCTGTTGTTCTCTATCAGACTTGAAATTGTGAATAATGCGGAACTGAAAAAAGGCATGTGGGGAAGGTCGTGATTGCCATGTATGAACTGAGGTCGCACAGGGGAGGGGGTTGATCTCCCTCTCCCGTTTTTTTTTTGTTTTTTTTTTCTCCTCACAAATGCGAGGGAACTCAAAAAAGCCACGTGGGGGAAGGTCGTCATTGCCATGTATGAAGTCAGATCGCACACGGGAAGGGAGTNTTTTCTCCTCACAAATGCGAGGGAACTCAAAAAAGCCACGTGGGGGAAGGTCGTCATTGCCATGTATGAAGTCAGATCGCACACGGGAAGGGAGTGTATCTCCCTCTCCCTTTTTTTTTTCGTTTTTTTTTTTTTCCTTGCGAAGATGGCATGTAACGAAACTGCAAAATGCCACGCGGGAAACGGTCACAATCAGCACGTCTGAACTGTGATCGCACAGGGAGGGGGGTTGATCTCCCTCTCCCTGTTGTTTTGTATCAGATTTGTAATTGCGGAAAATGCGAAACTGAAAAAAGGAATGTGGGGAAGGTCGTGATTGCCATGCATGGACGGAGGTCGCATAGGGGAGGGGGTTGATCTCCCTCTCCCCTTTGTTTTGTATCAGATTTGTAATTGCAGAAAATGCGGAACTGAAAAAATGCATGTAGGGAAGGTCGTGATTCCCATCTATGAACTGAGATCGCATTGGGGAGGGACTTGATCTCACTCTCTCGTTTTTTTTCTTTTTCTTTTTTTTTCCTTGCAAATGCGACGAAACTAAAAAAAGCGACGTGGGTGAAGGTCGTCATTGCCATGTGTGGAAGGTCGATTGCCATGTTTGGACGGACCCCCTTACTCCCCCGCAGCACCGGGGGGGTCCAGCGTTCCGGGAACTCGATGTGTGGAAGGTCGTCATTGCCATGTGAGGACAGACCCCCTTACTCCCCCTCAGCACCGGGGGGGTCCAGCGTTCTGGGAAGGCCGGCCCCCTTGCTGTTGCGGCCATCGAGGGGATCTCCCGGAACGCCTTCATCCCCCGCAGTGCAAACGGGGTCCGGCGTTCCCGGTGCTGTGGCCATCGAGGGGGGGGGGGGGCCGGGACGGGCCCCCTTACACTCCGCAGCACTAGGGGCGTCCAGCGTTCCGGGAACGCCGGACCCCCTTGTTGTTGTGGCCATCGAGGGGATCGGATGGACCCCCTTCATCCCCCTTAGCACACAGGGGGTCCGGCGTTCCGGGAACGCCGAACCCTTGGTGCTGTGGCCATCGAGGGGGGGCGGGGAGGGGGGGAGGGGGCAGGACGGACACCCTTACTCCCCCATAGCACCGGGGGGGTCCAGCGTTCCGGGAACGCCGGACCCCCTTGCTGTTGTGGCCATCGAGGGGATCGGACGGACCCCCTTCATCCCCCGGAGCGCAAACGGGGTCCGGAACGCCGGACCCCCTAGGTGTTGTGGCCATCGAGGGGGGGGGGGACGGACCCCCTTCCTCCCTCTTGCCTCAATTGGGAACCGGCGTTCCGGGAACGCCGGACCCCCTGGKGTTGKGGCCATCGGGGGGGGGGGGGAGGACGGTGGTGTGTCTGCTATTTTTGGGATGCCGTACCTGCACACACAACGGTCGTGGGGTCCGGCGTTCTAGGAACGCCGGACCTGCTGTGTGGGGCGGTAGCGAAACTCCCGTGCCGCGACGGATGTTTCTTCATGTCGCTTAGTGTTGTTTTCTTGTTGTCTTTTTTTGTGCGACCCTTCAGGAAAAACATCGTCTGGCTCCGCCCCCGAAAAATGGTACGGCAGGTCTAAGCTCTACCACGACAAACCATGGGCTCTTGATTGGGTGGGTGGCCTTTATATGCCGGGTTGCGGATCCGTTGTCGTTTTTAGTAATGACAATGGCCTGAGTTGGTACTGCTGCGGAGGGGTGGAGAAATCGGAAGCGGGGAGGTTTACTTACGACGGCAGGAAGTTTAGGACCTTCTTCCTTACGTCTGTCTATGACAGAGAGGGGATAAACTGGGTCAAGGAAGACAAGAAGGTGTCTCTTGACCATCGACTCTTCCAAGGATACGGGGTCAAGGCTTTGTCGATGAAAGCATTTGACGTGCGCGGGAACGGAACGGAGTTCCAAATGCTGGATCCGGAAAAGTTTCTTTCCAAAACCAATGGCTACCGCGTGACTGGTTCCCTGCCTGTCGTCGACAGCGCTTTCATGCTCAGCAAACCCTTGGTCCAATTCAACAGCCCGACGGACCAACTCTCAGCATTCGTTATGCGATACAGGGAAGAGTTCGTGAGGCTGCCTGCTGCCTAGCAAGTTGACCGTGTTTTCGTGTCGATTGACGCCCCGTCTTCATCGGCTCCGGGGCCCAAACGGCGCCAGGATCAGCCGACCAGAGCGGGTGGAAAGAGGACGCAATCGGCGACTGCCCCGTCTTCGTCGGTTGAGGTTGTCCAGGCTCTGCCCGCTCCGGTTCTGCCCTCGGATCGGAAAGGTCGCGATGCGGGCGAGCAGTCTAGCGAGGCCACATATTACGACGACGGAGCTGTGCGCTATCGGGCTGGTCCCCGGCATCATTCCCGGGGAGGTGCGGGTGCCTTCGATGACGACGAGTGCGAGGGCCAAGATGGGGAGGGCGGTGGTTGGCGTGGGGAGGGCGGTGGTGAGGAGGGGGAGGGCAGTGGTGAGGAGGGGGAGGGCGGTGTTGAGGGGGACGACGGTAACGAAGGAGATGCTGAAGGTGAGGACGATGGCATGGACGAGGAAAGAGACGATGTTGGTGAGGAAGTCCAAGACAATCGCTCCTCCCAATTTCACCATCGCCACCAGAATTAATCGCAGGGGCGCGGTGAGGACGACGCCTGCCGCATCGGTGATGCTGTCGATGCTAGTGGCCAGCCTGCAGCCTCCCGCAGAATGTCGCAGTCCTATGACCAGACGAAGGATGTGGGAGACGAACCTGGCTCACGGGGAAAACGAAAGAGGGGAGAGGCATCGACCTCTCCTGCGAGTCGAACAAAAGAGGCGAGGGCCGACGCCGTCAATGAAGCTTGCGGAGCGTTGACGGCATCACAGGAAGCGCGGGCTCCTCGGAAAACTGGTGGGGGGGGACGAAGTGGCAACCTTGGGGGCGGTCGCGGAGGCGGTAGGAAAGGCTCGCAGAGGTCCAGGGCACCTGAGCTGCAGGACTCGGGGGATGAGGGCGAGGGGGTGGGCCCTCGCATGCCCGAGGACATTGAAGAGTTGGTTCAGCACGCCGCGCCCGTGGACACGACACAATGTTTCTTCCTCGAATACGACGAACAGGGCTTCGCGAGGCAAGATGTCCAAGTTGTTAACGTCGACGTTAATAGGATCAAACCCATTCCTCGTGGGAAGATCCTATTTAACCACCGTTCGTTGTCTGAGAATATTGTGAGAGGCATCAAGAGTGTCATAGAAAGCTCCATCAGTGTTGACCCGGGGGTGTGGGATAGACCTGAGCTCGTTCTTGCGCCGGTTGACCCCAACGTCACCATCGGGGGGCAGGGAAGGCGAATCACGCCGGACGAGTTCTTCCAAACAGATTCTGGTGAGTTCGACTGGTACGCTGTCTGTGGTCAGCATACTGCCGAGACCATGAAGCGGTTGGTTGGAAAGGACTCCCCCGCCGTCAAAGTCTACGGCCTCCGCACGTACTCTAAAGTGCGAGTCATTTTTTTCGATGATGACCACACACGCGGGTACTTCAATGTCTCCCTCTTCGACAACACACGGGAGAATCGTGCCATGATGTTATCCTTCCAGAACGCTGTGCGTGATATGCGGCAATGGTGGATCGATAACAACAGGATCGAGGCACCCAAAGCTAAGGTTAGCGAGAAGGATGTCGTCGCCGTTGCGCATCAGAAAATGTGGCAGAACTTCCTGAGGGTCTGCATGGGGAAGACGTGCGACAAGGCATTCGTGAAGCAGGCTCTCGACAACGAATACAACAAGGATTGGAGTAACAAACTTCGGGGGTACCTGAACCTCGCCATGTCCACCCGCACGGTTTGGCCGCTGGTGGAGAAGTTCTTCGCGATGTTCGAGGAGGGTAAGCTGCCAATCGGCGACGGCAAGATCCCACTTGAGATGCTGGGGAGGATGGAGGGGCGCCTGCCCGGCCCGTACACTGACGAGAACAAGGGACAACGGACTTTGTACCACTGCATATATGCGAGAGATGGTCCCAAGGGCTCCACCGTGTCGTGGAAGGATTTGTGTCCTACATACTTCAAGAACTTCGGGGACATGACATGCCGCAAGAGAGAAGTCGCGCTACTCCTGCTCATGTCGGGGAAAGTGGTGGCAACAAAATTGAGAGTCACGCCTCCGAGGGTGAACACAGAGTGCCTCCTCGACATTATGCGCAAGGAGAGATACATGGTCCGCATGTTCAACTACGTCATGTTTCGCGCCGAGGGAAGGACAGGGGACGAATGGAACGACGACTTTTTCATGTCGTACAAGGACCTGGAAGAGAGGTATGCTTCAAACGGGTTATGCGCAGATGAATGAGAGAAGCAACGGGAGAAGCTGCATAGCAACTTAGTGAAGACGATCGCTCAGCGACTTGGAGGAGTGGAGGAGGCAAGGCAAGGTGCGGGCTTGGGGCCTACAGAAGTAATGTACAAGGAGGCTCCGTTTCACTTCAAAGTCTTTATATACACCACGAGACACAGACTCTGAGGATGAGGAAGGGAAGAACGAGTCGGGAATCGATGTCGACATGTTCAAGAAGAATCTATCTGGAGATCTTTTAGGAGAAGCTAAGCAGACAATAGCACAGGAGGTGAGCAGAGGACTGTACAACAAATCAAGCAAGAGTGAGAAACCTCCTTACAACTTGGGAAAGCGCGGCAGGAACGTATATGTGTACAACAAGAAAACTAACTACCACGTGAACATGAAGAATGTCGAACAAGTTCCGAAGGAAGACAGCTGCAAGGCCAACTGTTACAAGAAGTTCACGGCCGTAGATGTTTTCTACAAGCGCGAAGAATTTTGAACGATGAAACAACCTAAGCAACTCAACTTCTTTCTCGCAGAGGTGAGGGCTGCGTCGTACTTTTCGGATGAGGGAGATTTAGAGGTGTTAAGAGTGACGTTCAACGACGTAAAGGTTTGCACAAAAGCGTGGGGAAAACTGTACGGATGCTCGACTACACGTGTTGCAAAGATACGCAAAGAATTCAGAGAAGGAATGATGTTGTACGAGCATGCAAATAAAGGATCAGTCGGATTATCTGCTTCATCACAGCGAATTCTCGTCTGGTTGCATGGATATTTCCAATACAATACTGAGAGTATGCCAAATAGTGACCAGTTTCATCTTTCAGATACTCTCCGGCGCAGAGACGTGTACGACTTCTTCAAGCGAGATTGCAAAGAGCTCTACACGAATAAGACTCTTCCTTCCCGTTCCAGATTTATGACCATTTGGAGCGTTCACTGCCTGAAAGTTCTTATTCCTGTATTGAAGAGGTTCTCGGTCTGTTCCACATGTCTGAAATTCAAGGCAGACCGTTCACAGGCAACAAGTGCTTTCGAACGAGGTAATGACATAACCTCAGTGCTTATTTTCTCTCCCCCAGTCTTCCTGACCCTTCTCTCTCTCTCTCTCTCTCTCTCTCTCTCTCTCTCTCTCTCTCTCTCTCTCTCTCTCAGTGTTCATTCTTTGATGTTTGCCACAACGCGACTGATTGTTTTGAATTATATCCCTTTAAGTTGTTTTTGCAGAAAGTAGAGGCTGTGCCTTGCATATTTACGGAAGGATTCTCATGGAACTCTTCTTCGTCTCTCGTATTTCTTCTTCTTTTTCCTCTCTCTCTCTCTCTCTCTCTAAATGTTCTTCGTGCAGAAAGAAAAATGAGTCTAGTGTCAGCGCAAACTGAGAAGGACTCTTATGAAAGTAGAAAGTCTGGTAAAGAAATAGTTACACGTCTTCTCTTTGTCTCAGTTATAGTCCTATAACACTTTGTCTCTTATTCGTCTTCGACTTTTCAAAGTTAAAGCCCTTTACCACTTTTTCTAAGAATCGTCTTCGTGACGTCTGCGTTGCCTTCCCCGAACTCGTTCAGTCAATAAAAACAGAATTTTTGGGAAGAATGAATTGAAGATTCTACGACGTTTGTGAACTCACTTTTCTAAGTTATAGCCCTATAACACTTTGTCTAATAATCGTCTTCGACCTCTCAGAGTAAAAACCCTTTAACACTTTATCTTTTAGCCGTCTTCGATTTTAAAGCCCTTGTTATTAGTGATGTCAGCGTTGTCTTGCCCAAACTTCGAATTTTATGATGCACGACACTTGTGGACTAGCTTTCCTGAGTTATAGCCCTATAACACTTTGTCTAATCATTGTTGTCGATTTTAAGGCCCTTCATCACGCTTTGTCTCTTTTCTTGAACATGTTTTGACAAAGTAACCGCTTGTTTTGTTTTTTGCCCAGAAATGTTTGGCAAGGCACTAGAGAAGCACCGGTTAATGAAAGCAGAAGAGAGACAAAAACTTAGTAAGCATCGCCACAAGGCTTTAAGTCATCCGTCAGAGTATGTCGCAATGATCATTGATGGGATGGATCAGAGCAAGACTATACTGCCACACTTTACTAGGGTTCCAAATGATTCGAAACTAAAAGAAGGGAACTTTGTGAAAGTTCACGTGGTTGGGGCTAAGGTGCTAAGACTCTCATCGAACGCCTCTGCAACTGTTTTCTTTGACAACTTAGATCAGATTCTAATTGCATGCTAACTGTTCTTCATCGTCAGATTTCTCAACTTCCTGTACCATTTCCGAGAGTCCTGTATCTTACACTTGATAACACTTCGAAAGATAACAAGAACAAATTTGTGTTGTCATATCTCGTGTTCTTGGTGAAAATGAGAGTGTTTAGTAAAGTGAAGTTAAACTTTCTTCTTGTTGGTCACACGCACGAGGACATCGACCAGATTTTCAGCTGTTTCTCGAGAAAGATGGCTACACATGGTGCGTTCGATCTTCCTGAGTTGCAACACGTGATTAGGGAGTCGTACAAGGTAGAACAAGATCATAGCGTGCACGTTGAGGAGATGACGGAAACAATGGACTGAAAGTTGTACGTTCAGGATCATCTACATAATGTCAATGATATTAGCTTCAACCAACATTTTCGAATCAAGCGCAACGACAATGAGGAGGTGCGCATTTGGAGCAAGCAATATCATAATTTGCGGTGGCAGCCGAACGACAGAGAAAGTCTGGACATCTTCACGTCAGAGCCAACAGGACAAGTTCAAGCTTCGCCAAAGCATGCAATCCGATCCTTGGAAGCAAGATATCGACTTACTTGTTGGGGTGAGGACGAAAGGCGTGATAAGGTCGTCAGCAGTGAAGGTCATGTCCGTAATCGAAAAGCGGGAGGATCTTCGAAATTCAAGGTTGACGATGATGTACTGTCCATCGCCGCCTTGAGAGCCAAATTACATGCCCTGACGCTCAACCCCACAACATTGAATGGTGGAATAAGCTCAAAGCAACGCAGAAAACTCTCGACCTTCAGGACACAAACCTCAAAGAGTCTTTCGCGTGGCCCTCTGTAACAGCATATGTCAGCAGAGCAGGTGAAGAAGTTCCACCAACCGCTAATGGTTTTGACCAACGCTGGGATGATCTTTTCCCTCCTGAGAGACCTATCTACATTCACGCACGCAAGAGCAGACAGTTTCGAGAGGACAGAGACGGAAAGTACGACGATCTCGAGGTCAACACTTTTATCGCATTACGAGTTTGTTCGGGGCAGGAAGAGAGAGGCAAACCTTACCACATTGGCAAGGTTGTCGAGCTGCTAGCAAGTAAACGATTCAAAGTTGCTTGGTTTGCACAACGTGAGAAAGGAGAGGGTTACTACCCTCAGTTCAAGACAAATCCTCAAGGAAAGACTACGAGAGAGTCTTCCGAGGACATCTATGACTGGAGCTGCGGCGTTCTTTGTTACAACTTTCAACTAAAAACAGACAGGACCCTTTTCTCGCAGACCAGACAAAAGATCTCTGAGATGTTGAATTCCATGGCAACGGAGGATGTCCACTAGGAAGACCTTCTAGGAACGGATTGCTTCGGAGGTTGGCAGAGAGTCATCGAGATCGAGGTCATTTCTGCTTCCGCATTAGACCAGGTTTCCTTTTGTCGCTGTTCAACAGATTATCTGAGTTGAGTCGTTAGCGGCTTGAAACTTCTTTTAAATTTGTACAACAGTAGGTCGCAGGTCGCACCCAGGCACGTGCGGCCAACCTTCTTGTCATCCGAGTCTAGTCGTTAGTGGCTTGTAAATTCTTGTAAATTTGTACAACACTAGGTCGCATTTCGCAACCAGGCACGTGTGGCCAACCTTTTTGTTTTCGCGATCTTTTCCAATGTACTTTGCGGTTTTTCACTTTACAATTATAAAATTTTGGGAATAGACTCACGATTTGCCGTTTGGGTTCCGGCTCTTCGATTTGCGGTTTGTCACTCATTTTTCGACCAAAATATTTGTCACATGAACAATTGTTGATTTGCGGTTTGTCATTCAAATTCTCGCGACATTATGTTTTTTTCTACTTTCCCCAAATTCGTGTTAAAGGCCTACAAGGTCGTGTTTGAATTTCGTTGAATTGTCGTGACTTTTAACACTGCGTTTTTAGGGCTTTAAACACTTGACCGATAATGGACTATAATTACGCTATTTTTTTACTTTGCTTAAATTCGCGTTATAGGCCTATAAGGTCGTGTTTGAATTTCGCTGAATTTCCGTGACGTTGAACATTGTGCTTATAGGCCTATAAACACTTGACCGATTGTGGACTAAAATTCTTATGTCCGTGTTTCGTTTTCAAACACTCGGTAGAGGCCTGTAATTCGAAAAGCGCGGTTTTCGAATTTCGAGAGAATTTACGAGGGTCGCTTCCAAATCTCGCGAAATTCGGCTCTTTTATGAATTTGCGCAAATTCTCGTTATAGGCTTATAAGGTCGTGTTTGAATTTCGCTGAATTTCCGTGATGTGGGACATTACCTTTATAGAGCTATAAACACGTAACCTATTATGGACTAAAATTCTTCTGTCCGTGTGGGCCTTGAATTCGAAAAGTGCGGTTTCTTAATTTCGAGAGAATTTCCGAGGGTCGCTTTAAAATCTCGCGAAATTCGGCTCTCTGCTGAATTTTCGCAAATTCGCGTTATAGGCCTATAAGGTCGTGTCTGGAAGTCGTTGAATTTTCGTAACGTTCGAATCTAGTTAAACGGTTGTCCACAACTTTTGGAGATTTAAAATCAGTTGCCGTTGACTGTTTTTTTCTTTTCTCTAGATCCCGTTTTTTTCATACCTTTGTTTCCAAGCTTCTATTTCCTTACTATTATGAGTGCAAAGAAAGAGGATTACCAACCCGTCTGTTCGGCTTGCCAGGTTTTCGACTAGTTTTTACGTCCTTGGATTGGGTTCCGGAAAAGACTCTTCTGTTTTAAAACAAAATACTACTTCCAATGTACAGTACTGACTGGTCGTTTCGTTTTGCACTGAAATCTCCATAAATTGGAGATCTTTTCGTCGACCATGAGTAGGAGTCGCCTGTTCGCCTAAAAAATGGGCTTTTTTTTCCACGTTGTTGTCGGCCTCAAATATCTACTAATTTTTAGAGGGGGTTTCGATGACATTTGCGCACGAAACGGTGTAAAATTCACCTTTGTTTCTCAAAAAATGCTATGTTCGATTGACGTTTTTCTGTCTATAGGATTTCTCTGGTTTTAGTTTGTTTCTCTGGTTTTCACAAATCCATTGTTCTACCCGCTTATACAGGACAGGGAGGAGAGTAAT